GGAGCCAAATAATGTTGTCGTACAACAACCAGTCTTTTACTACATTTGGATTATAGCCGTAAATACTATGCTCAAAACATGGTTCCAATTATGGATTTAAACTTTATAAACAATCGTGGTAGCGCAAATTTTATAGTTGGAGTGCCCCTCTTGATTCGACATAACCCCCATTTTTTTTCTGCGTGACGATCGCCACAGCAAATGATCAACATGATGCAAAATTATACTTTGCATATCAAGGGACGTGCATATATCCAGAAATGGCATGATTGTTTTTTATTCTATTTTTGTGCATTATGCTCCTTTTATTAACTTTTTTTTTAAAACAAATATGTACGAATGTGCGACCAAATGTGTGTGGGGTGGTTTAGGGAAAAAATTTATGATCTAGGCAAATACATCTTTTAACCTGTCTTGTCGGATATAGATGGACATCGTGATGTTGCCATCGAACTGGAGGTTGGTCACCCGATCCACTTTCGAGTCATTAAATCTGTACCATCTTTTTGCTTGATGGTGTCTGATTTAAGCAATGTAATGTCCAATGCCAGCTAGAATATGCAATACAAAAGCATGCAGCATATACCGAACCGGAGTCAAATGCTCCGTGGGTTCCTTTGATTAATAAAAGTGATGTACCAGCTGCTTTTCATTCTCCTAAAACACGAGTTAGCTATCCATACACTTTTTTTTGAATTGCATACTAACATTGCCAGATAAGGCAAACACAGGAGGCAGCACTGTGAATTTATTGTATTCCAGCACTTCATTCAACCCCTGATCAAATGATCTTCCATGGGCATAGAGACAAAAATTCATCACCAGATTGATACCTACGGGTTTTGGCAAGGACCACGTCTGGAACAAGTCTACCAACTCCTCCGTTCCATCTTGTGCCAACGGCAACCCACTTGAGCATAAACTCATAGGAATCTAATAATACATCATATTCAATAAAACCCCCCACTAAAATAATAACTTCATGTTTACCTCTAGCGTCACAGGTGTAGCGATTACCTATGACATACAACTCTTGATAAGTGGGTGGAGGTACATTAGGGATGGGAATCTCCTGGAAATAAAATGGGTCGTCCGCCTTCCACTCGGGAGAAACACCGTTACGTTCATTGCCGCCGTCGTAACTCACCATGCTTGGAAGATGGGCTTGAGGCTCGTAAACCTTTGTGGCGGTTGACATGCCCAAAAACCATCCTTGCAGGTCTTCTACAGCTGAAGGGAGAGTGGGGAGCCTTTAATAAAAAATAGCCTGAAAATAAAATAAAACTATACCTATTCTAGCACGGATGAGATCTTGCTTGGTGAAATACTAATTGTCAAAATATTTGCCTTCTTTCACAGCATCAGGTACCAACTTGAGTGACTTATTAATTAATGGCAGTTCGAAAAGGGATAATTAAATACAACACCTACTCGGTTTCGTTAATTATTTTATTTAAAAAAGGATAGCACTGGGCATATTCTTTACCTGAATAGGTGCACTGAAGAAACAAATGTTTGCAATATTTTTAATACCAATGGTACTGTAAGGGAGAGTGCTTGCGCTGGAGGAAGACATGTTAATTGTTAAACGATAAAAGAATAAAAGAGCAGCTGGATTGCAGAAACATTTCTCTTTTTTATACTTGCTGATTTAAATCCCTAAACTTTATTATATACACGCAATACTGATTGGTGTTCGAATAAATCATGATAATCGCAATGTGAATTACCTTTTACTGTACATATGAATCGGGTCTCTCAGGACAGTTTCGTAGGGATAGGCAATTTTTCGTAGGGATAGCCAGATTTTATAAGGGACAGTCAAGGTGCGCGTAGTCGTAATGTTGGATTAGGATACTTTAATAGACACGGAGAGGTCAATATAACTTAACAACTTGAAATATATACACATTTATTACAACCAACATAGTTTAAACCAGTATGTGTGTGTTACAGCTTACCTTCAGCTTCTCATTTGAACTTTACCTTCTTATTTCTGCGTATGATTAAAATCAAATGAGCTTAAAGGCAAAAGAATGATGACAAATTGTCAATCATTTAATATGCATTTGTTCGTAATTATCACATTGTTTTTGATTATGTATTCTTGTTTCCAGGTCTAAAGGATAACCAAATTTATCATGCACTTTTAATATTACAGCTCATTTGAATACATTAAAAAATAGCTTTTTGAAAAAAAAAAGACTATATTTCTCACTTGTTTTTATGCAAGTGATGACTATTGTTAAGGATGGAGGTTAACTGTTATTTTTTATACAAGTGATGACTCCATATAAAAAAAATGGCAATAATTCTCCCTTGTTTTTTACAAGATATAGACAACGAGCCAAAAAAAAATTGGCAATAGTTCTCCCTTGTTTTTTGTCAATTCAATGCTTGAATTCCACAGTGCTTTTATTCTAGCTATCATTATTTTTTTTCACTAAAAAAAATTAAAACAATTAATACACTTGATGTTGAAAAAAGGTCTTTTTCGTTACCTGTACACTAAAGACAATAGACCAGTTAGACCATATGACGAGCATATAATAGATGGTATTGAGTCCTATTCATTCTTGATACTTTTATGAGAGATAAACCATCCAGATGGGACAATGAAATTTTTCTTTTTTTTTTCTTTAACCGGGATTATTTTGACCATAGCTCCCCCTTGTTTTTAACAAGATATAGACAGTGAGCAAAAAAAAATTGGCAATAGTTCTCCCTTGTTTTTTTGTATTTTCATTGCTTAAAATCCACACTGTTTTCATCCTAGCTATCACTACTTTTTTTAAAAAAAAAAAAATTACTAAACATGATGATCTTTATAAGAGGTCTTTTTTGTTACCTGTACAGACAAGGCAGTACGTCAGCTATACCATACGACAAACAGATTACAGATGATATTAAATACTATTCATTCTTGACACTTTTACACAATAGACATGCATCTGCTAGATGGGACAATAACATTTTTCTTTTTGGCAATGGTTCTCCCTCAATTTTTTCAAGTAGAACGGCCGCAAGAAAAATTTGACAATAGTTCTCCCTTGTTTTTCGTAAAGTCAGTGGCATTAAGACAAGTTACAGTAACAGTGATGGTTATATCTATTACTTACATGCATAATTAATATACTAAATAGGTATGATTTTTTTTTTTTTTTTTTTTTTTTTTTTTTTTTTTTTTACCTGTGCACAAGTACAATGACCCTGATTATTTTTTGGCAATAGTTCTCCCTTGTTTTTTCATACATGTTAACAGCAGCAGGCACATTAGATAGTATCATACCAGTAGTCCAATAAAGCCAAGAGTATCAATGCATATTTCTTCTATTTTTTTTTTTTTTGAGGGTGCAATAGTGTTAGATCAGAGTAAAGTATTATTGTTCTTTCTTGTTACCTACAGGTTCAACAACCCCTTGCTCTTGTTTATTATATCCAAATACTAGTGGACATCAAGTCAGTGACTATACAAGAAAAAAGAGTGAGTCATTAACAGAAAAAGATGGCGATAGGTCTTGTGAGTTACCCGTACAAGCAAGAAATAAACCAGTAGACATTGTCAGCAATTCCATTTTTTTTCTGTTTGTATGCAAGTAATAACCGGGGGATGTAAGTAGGACTATAGCTATCTGTTACTAGTATGAAAGAATAAATAATATACAAGTGGGATATAATATTTTTTTTTTTGATAGTGTAAAGAATATAAGAATGAAAGTGACAATAGTATCAGTTTGATTCTTGCAAACTAGGAATAAAAACAAATTAAAACACAAGATAACACGTCCTTTTTTTTTCTTGTTACCTATACAAAGGATAAACCAGTTTATATTGACAATAGGCATGACCGATATAATAAGCCATGGCTGAAGCTACTGCTGTTGATTATACATAAGTAACTGAATAGGTTGATTATATTATTTTTTTCTTGTTACCTATATATCCAAGTGACGTACTAGATAGAGAGGCAGTAGCGGTTGACCTGTACAATACGTATGAGTACATCTATCTGTTGTTTAAATAAACGGGTGAGTAACAGAACAAGTAGATGACAGTTTCTTCATGTTCTTTTTATACACGGCGAGACTTCTTTTTTTCTTGACAACAGGACCAGTATACGCTTTGAGTTCTATTTATACAAGAAATGAATGAGTTACACGTAAAAGTATTCAAATAATAGTGCTGTCTTGTTACCTAAATTCCTGATTAATGGACCAAAAAAAAGAGACAATGCATGACGCGTTTTACTTGCTGCTTGTTCACAGGTATAACACCACACTTGCTCTGGTTGAATACACAAGACATAAAGTCATTTCACTTGTCTTTGTAAAGAGGCACGTCAAATAAAAAAGAGATTCATCCTGGTCTTCTTTTTTTAAAGATGTTAAAGAGCCGTGCATCAGAAGAATGTAGCAATAGTTCTTTTTTTTTGCTAGAGTAAGAGAAGGATACACCTAACCACAGAGGAAACCATAGTACAGTCAGTGCACATTGGTCTCGTTTATTTTTGAGTGCTTAAGAAAATATTCTCCTCCACTGTATGAATTCAATAATGTATGGATGAGACAGCACAGAGAAAGAATGTGGTCTTTCCCTTTCTTGATCTTGGAGACTACACGCAGCAGTATTCCTGTACAGTGGTAAAAGAGGTCCTTGTTGAGTAGATGGATGGGAAAAGGAATAAAGAAATAAGAGTCCTTTTTCTTGGGTGCCATGATTATAACAAATGGGTGTTCCTTGGTAGCTTTACTTTCTTGCTAGGCACGTATGGCTATGGACAATGTTGGTGAAAAACGTGTTCAAACGTGTCTTTTTTAAATACTTTTCTTTTTACCTTTACGTTTTCTTTATATCAGAATTTACACCATGGCGGCATCAGACCTTATAATTAACGACACAGACTAAAAAAAACGCGTCCCATCAGTACATTACTCCTTCAATCATAAAGCTGTTCTTTAATGCTATACCTGGCAGTACAACCGGTGTAGATAGTCATTATAAAGGATACGTAAAGACTTGAATAATGTGGCAGAAGAAAAAAAAAAAGAATAAAGAAAAAGGAAAAAAAAAAAATGGGGCTCCCCTTCGGGTCGCTGATCCCATTTTTTTGCAGGCGTATCAGACTTTGTCCTCCGACCACATATTTTTTGACCTACGCTACGCTTCGGTAAAAATACGTGGTTCCCGGAGGACCCATCAGTCATTAGCTATGGTATCGCTATGGTAACATTTTATTTGATCTATACAAAAAACCATAAAGGCCCGTGATAAATAGTGAAAGAAAAATTTGTCCCATAAATGATAATTTCTCTGTCAATAAAAATATTCTATCGATTAATGTCATTCACTTAATAGTAGGAGTAATTGCACAACATTTCGTTTTAATAAATTCAAAACAACTAATGTTCTGGAATTTTCGTTTAAGTAAACCTTAAAGGTATCATTGATTATAGTATAAGCATAAGTTTGATCTAAAGTTTGAGGTTTTGTGATCAGACATATAGCTCTTCCAATTTCCCCATCATGAGCCGTGACGTCAGTATAAGTCTCACTAAGTTTTAGGTTGTCATTTGATTCTTGACTTGATGGGAGGTTGACTTCAAGATCTGGTGGTGCGAAACTTTCCCCAGTATTTGTTTCTGATGAGGACTCCTCCATTCTATTTGGGATTGTCTAAATTTCAAAAACCAAGTAGTTCTTTTGACCTGGGTTGGATCGTTCATTCTGTTTTTCTAAACAGTCGGATGAGCTTCCCTGTCGCTCTTTTTTCCCTTGTTCTTTTTCTTTTCATGTTCTCTAATCATTTTCGAAACTTGATTTCTTGATTGAAGTTGAAAATGTACGTTTTTATTTAAAAGAAGTTTTATGATATTTGCATTTCCCAATATAGTAATTTTTGGCTTTTTTTTTGTCCCAATTCTAAAGGCTTTTACACTACGTATTACATACTCCGTCTAATACGCCAAAAAAAGGGGGGGAGGGATAGATGACGTGTGCGGAGATTTTAGGCTGGCCTTTGATTTTGCGTGCGTCCGTGCGCCCGTGCGCCTACACCACCTTCCATATGTATTCTTTGGTTACTTGTTTCCTTTTTCCTTCTTTACAAAGACGTCTCCCATACACCATTTTATCAGTCATAGAGATTATGTTGACCTTTTCATTTTATTGCCCTTTAGATATATCAAGTAGAAAAATAAAAATAAAAAAAAGAATACTTACACTTGACATTTTATACACCTGTCCTTTGTTCCTTACAAAGACTTATTATATCCTATACCTTTACTTTAGTGTCAACTTTTTTTATATATTAAAAAAAGACAGGCTCTTGTTCCTGTTTACCTTCATTTAAAATACATTTTACGCTTCGTGTTTAACGCCAATACGCCTTCATCTTATTTATCATGACTTACACTATAGTAGCATGCGTTCATCTTTACAAATTGCACCAAGACCTACATTAAAAAGATCAGCTTCTCGGTCATTTTTTGATGCATTCTTTTACTGCTAACGTTGTTTCCTTTACTTTAACCCATTAAATCTTCTTTTGCTTGTGCATTATTATACTTTACTTATTCATCATCCTTCTGTGTAAACAAAATGAATCTATCAGTACTGTTTAAAGTGAACCCCCTTTATAAAGAAGCTACCTTATTTGGCCATCAACCAATGCACTTACCATGAACAGGCCTCCATGACACAAATTCCCTTTTTCTTTTCTTGTTTAGCTTCACTCATTTATAGAGACGCTCGGGATTTCGGGCTCCTTGTCCATCACTTCACTCTGTCTTTGCTGTATTTAATTACTGACTCTATACATGGAAAAAGAATCTTGGACTCATTCCTTCTCAAGAGTCGGGACACTAGACTAGAGCGACTCACCTAGTTAGTCTTTTACACTACATTGCAACCTTTTTCTTGTGCATTACCTTGTAAAGAGCTGTGACTCTTGTTCTTGATACGCAAGGGGAAAAAAAGAACCCAGTCTTTTGTAACTGCTATTCTATTGTGTCACCATTATAATCAATCAAACAATGCAACTTTAAAAAAGGTAAAAGAAAGTAATTCACTTTAATCCGCAACAATTTTTTTTATTTTAGTATAATTATAAAGCTTTCTTTGGTTTAAAATCAACACACTTCAAATCACTAGTACGCTCAATCATATCTGGATGTAACTTCATAGATCGTAATTGAATAGTAAGGGGTCTGTCTTTCTGAATGAATGTTATTATATCCGCGAATTCAGCCTGAATTAATACCCGCATGCTGTCTGTTGTACATAACGCCGCGATGGCCAACGCACCATGTTCGAAGTAACGCAACAGAATATTAAATCTATTGCCTACAGTTTTTATTAATGCAATCTTGTGCGTTGTATAGTTGCATTCTATTGTTTGAATAAATACTTTTTTTTTAAAAAAAAAAAGAAATATTTACGCTTTAATAGATCTACAAATTTGTCGTGGAAGCCAGGGTATTCTTTCTTCAGTTTTTCGCCGAAGCAATAGAAATGGTAGCATCCAGCGTATTGGATTGTTGTTCCCCAATTTCCGAGGGTAATGTTGTTGTCATAATAATCCCTAACGGCACTAGCAAATACCTCAAGTTCAGATTGCTTTGTTTTGTCCGTTAACTGTGGAGCCACAGGAATTACTATCTGCATCAACATATTCTCAGTGGCCATCAACTGTATGTTGTTTTTAACCAACTGCAAATCCGGGAGGGCATTCTTTCCTTTCTTTACAACTGGAGCTTTTTTGGCCTTAAGAGCATCATTTACTTGACGCGCTCCAGAATCATTGTTATCATTCGTTCTGTCGTCGGAACAGCCAGCCTCATCATCAATATAGGGGTTCTTGCTGTATTATTTTTGGTTTTTAGCAGAACCACTGGCACTGGTCTCTTCCACTACCACTCTTTTCTTTGGCGTGGCCATCGGTCTTCCTTCAACCGGTAATACCGCAGATTGACCTGATTAAGTACATGTTAAGGCACATGTTAAGGTGCATGTTAAGGTACATGTATAAATATATTTTTTTTAAAAGAATAAAAAAAACTAACCTTGGATATGTAAAGTAATGTTAAATTTTTCCAAACAATACATAATCATTGTTGGATGATCGTTTGGATCTACAGAATAAAGTAAGCTATATGTTATGTTTATGAACCCTTGTGTCATGTACTTACAATTCTTTTTAATTACGTAGTAAATAATGTGGCTTTTAATTTGGTTTGGCGCATATATCCCTGAGGCCATTACATAAAAACACATATTACCTATAGCGTCTATTTAAAGGGGGAAGATAAAAGTCTTGTTACTTCAGGCTAGAAATAGATAAGAAAAAAAGGGGGCGTGGGATACTGATCTTAATCAGTTTTTGAAAATAATAAAAATAAAACCTCAACCTGCTTTTTAAAAATACACTTAATTTAATGACTTTATCTTATGGGCTATAAAAGCACACAACTAGTACAATTAAATAAATAAAAAAGTGGAAGGGTAACAGTTTTTATTATTTTCTTATGAGTATGTCGATGATGCGCTGTATAATGCCTTACCTGTAATCCTCTTTTTTTTCTTTATCACGCTACAAGAAGCAACCATTGAGTTTATTTTTGAGGGCTACTGAAATAAGAGTATGCGAGTAGTATTGGCGTGATAAAGAGTATTTCTTTAAATAAAATAGAGTTTAGTTAAGAAGGTCTTTATAATTGCCAGTTGAGTGAGCACCACAGCTAGTTTAAGCAGAAGCTGAACTGTTAGAAAAGAAATGGATTTAAGTATAGCTTATATGCTTATAAATAAAAGATACAATGATAAAATGTAATAAACGGATCAATCAGAATGATAATAGAGCTGAATAATATATAAAACTAATAAGTCAAAGTGTTGAAATATGAGTAAAATAATAGATGAGGATTTTTATTTAGGAGAGGTCTTATGGATGCCTATTTATAAAGATGGTCGTATAATCCAGTCACTGAAATTAAAGAAATTGGGAAAATTTATAGAAGAGATTGAGGCAATTGCGCCTACTAAGAGGTCACAGATCTGAGGATAAGAAAAAGATGAAAAGAAGTAGTTTTGGCAGGTGCAAACCCGAAAAGGTGTATTGCACTTTAGTAGGTGTTTAAAAAGAAAAAAAGATTGGAAATGCGCTCGATTTGTCGCATAACACTACCATAAATAAAAAACCAATCCCCCTCCTCCTTATGCTAAGAATGGGGAATTGCTTATAAATATTAAATACAGAATAATGATATTTTATAAAGACATGCCAACTGACACTCATTAAAAATAGAACGTCTCCATGTACCCTCTTATTTCACGCACACTATAATCTATAAGAGACTCTACATAATACGGCTATATTTTATTCTTTATTTTTTTTTATAGGCAGCAGAAATCTATGTGCACTCAATAGGTGTTACCTGTGATACTAATAGGGACACAAACAGGTCGCTTGCATGTATTTTTCAAGTACGCCATCATGTCTGAACATAACTACCACAGTGTACAACACTACTTTGTTTTTTAACAATGCTTTTCTGGTTCCGCTGTTGTATTCCTTTGCTTAAAAAAAGTATAATTTATACCATCATACGATGGATAATATTTTATAAGTATCAGCATACCCTTGTTCATAACTGACTATTTTAACGGTTAATTATAACAATAAAATATACATGTATGCAATTTATACGTGTAGGCTACATCTTTTAAATATACAGGTACTAAAGGATACAGACTATGCATTAAAAACACAGCCAGATTATCCTTCGTATGTTGAATTAACGGTATAAAAAAGAGCCTTCCCTCTTGAATGTAAAGTTAATATACGTTTTTCAATAGACTCCTACTCCTTTTGTTGGGTTTCGTTGCTACGCTGCCCATCACAATGAAAGCCTTGTCTTTAAAATTCAATTTTGCGCATGGCAATTTAATTGCTATATTATTCTTTTTTTTTTTATAATACCTTCCTTAATCAGTGTTAATCCTCGCTAGCCCTTACTAACTGGTAGAATAAAAGTCTTATCTACGAGGAACCTATCTGGAATTGAAGAGAGGATTGTGTACCCAAATGGGAGAATGAAAATAATAACAATTCATAGACCAAGATTGAACTTTCTTTTAAATCAAAATGACATACTCTGATTTAATAAAAAATAAATGAACAGTGGTAAAATAATTAAACGCGTATCTATAAAATGAAGACCAAATACAACATGGTGAAGGAAAGATGGCTCAAAATAGTATCCTTTATAAACGCCCTTCACTTAAAAAGATGACAGAAATTAACATAAAAAAAGGCAAAGGCAAGATTAAATCAAACAGCACATGTAAAAGAAGGAAAACAAGAACAGTAAGATACAAAATCAACTGATACAAGGTAAAGATTCAAACCTATAAATACACACTCTAACTGTCGTATTTGGGTACGATTCACTTAGGAATAATTAAGCAAATCGTTTAAATAAATAAACTATGAAATTAAAACAACCTTTTATGTTGCATATGAGCATACGCTTGTATACTGATATACAACTTCTCCTACTTCGAGTACATACTTCTATATAAAAGATTGCATGATTGGCCTAAATACGATATACGAATGACAGTTGGATACAGAAAGCTATACCGCTGAGTTACGATATCACCGATCGAGAAGAGAATCTTCTCAGATCAAATCAAGAATTATAAGAAAGAGAAGCTTAATATTAATGGTTCTCTCAATGGATTAGCTACCCAGAGAGAGAATAGAACAGCTATTAATATAAATGGTTCATTACTTATATATTGATATAGTTATACTGCTGATAAAGAATATAAAGAAATAGTGTATGAATTAATGGATACCTAGCTTCTACAACCAAATATACAAATATCGATAAGAAATTTTATATTTGGGATCGTATTTTATTCATTACAAAGATAATGAATAAATGATCAACCATTATGTTCTATTGCCAATTACACTTGACAAACAAGTATGCATCTTTTACAGTAACCGTTGCATGATCTGATAAATAAGTGTCTCGTAATACTAAAAATTTATTAGAATACTCATGCTCCCGATCCACTAATATGGGACAACGTTAACTGGAAACAATTCTAGCGAGCAGTATCCATTTAGCCCAAGGCGGCAAACAAAGTATAGATCTATTCCAAAACCAGAAAGGTTAACTCATCATTAAAACTCAGGAGAGTTGTGCAATATAAAAAGGATCATTCATAGCAGCAGAGTTCTTTTAGTCTATTTTTACCTCTAATAAAAATATACTTTTATCTCATTACTTTTCTATGTAATATTTTGTCAAATACCACACTAACATATTTTTAAAAAAGTACTAAAACGGTAAGTTTTGTAAATCAAAAGAGAACAGCTTTTTATAAAAGAGGGTAAAAATCAATGCTTGTATTTCTCTATCAAACACATTCATGTTTATTTATACAAGAACAAGCAAAGGATACACTCGGGTGTGGCAATAAACATCTATAAGAAGTACAAAAGTAAAAAGAAAATGACTTTCAAAGGAATGCGTAAAGTTTAAATCCTGTGTTCCATTAAATAAACGCGTGCAGTAAAGCATAGTGAGTACACTTGTCAGAATGTTATGAGTAAATAAAAAATTAATAGGAAGAATACAAGCACAACTTCATCAATTACAAAAACTCAGGTATAAGCTTAACCTTCCTGCACTGGTAAATTTCAAAATAATGAAGAAAAGCGAATGTTCTTGTCAAAGAAAAGGCTACTTGTTAAAAAAGAATTAAATAAAGTGTATGAAGAACAAGATTGGACATCAAACAATGCTGCCCTTTCGTGTGTTATTTAAATGATTGTGTAGCTGTTAAATAACAAAATAGATTCTTGTAGTAAAATAAACATAATAATAGAAACAAACTAGACATAATGTTACAATGCGGATTTTCAATATGTAATAATTGACTTCAACACTAAAAACTTTACTCAAACAATTTATAATTTTCATGCTAACTTTTAGCATTGTACTTCTCTAACTTGAATCTTTACCTTTCAATATTTAAAACCTTTTGACAAATTTATTATTATTATCATTTATCCGAAATCAAGGGTATCGTTACCGATCCTTTGATTTCTCGAAAACTATATAAACCTTAAAACAAAACATATTTCAATAAACATTCAGATTTTACTATATACTTTCTATCATGACTTCCCTAACAAATATTATATCTTCTATATATAATTGGCCTATTATCTCACTGTCTCCCTAGAAAAACCGAAGCCTTAGTCTCTTTTTCTCTGTATCTGTCTATCAAGACCTTTTATTTTATTTTACTTAACTGGATCGTTACCATATATATTTATATAAAATAACGTGGTGCTCACTTAGAACTGAATAATTGAATACAAACGTGTATTATTCTCCTTCTACCTTACTGTCAAAACTAAATCTAAACCAATCACCACTCACATTGTATCAATGTTAAAAAGAATTAAAAAAAAATGCCAAGCAGCCAAAGGCCCTAAGGACACCCCTTTCATTTCAGAAAAAAATAAAAAGCACTAGCAAGGAATTGAACCTACGTCCCTAAACCAGCAATTAATTAAGTGACAGTGATTAACCAACTAGTCCTCCTTTATACTATTAATCTTGTAATCCTCAGATGTCTAGTTGACCCTTACGTAATAACCTAACACGTGACTATCACGTGAACCTATTCCTATTGGCCAGAAGAGTACTCTTCAAAGTACAAGTACAAAATAAAGTATGAGATAAAAGATAAAGATTTATTAATTATAATCTGGGGTTATTTATACTATCTAATTTGATTGATGTTTCATATGTATGTAATTGTTTTATGCTAAATTAGTTTATGGCTTTGCTTGTTTGTTCTTATGACATATAGTTTTGATTTCTTGTTTGGTCTTGCTTTCGTGACCTTTGGTTTAAACCTTCGTTTGGGTCTTGTGAGTTCCATTGCGTCATAGTAGTTCTCGGTGCCGGGCTGTTGTGCCGGAACTATTTCATTGGCTGGATTGGTTCTGACATTAGCCCCCCCTAGGCTCTGTGCTCGTCCCTGAGCACCTAAAACTGGAGAGCCGATTGAGATAGAGCTAGGAACAGTGGAGTCAACCATAGGGGAATCAACCATAGGAGAGTCAATGTCAGTTGTAGATTCAGAGTTTTTTTCGAGAGTAGTGTCCATAGGTACGGGTGCATGTTTAGTGATAGGAGAGGTAGGTAAAGGCTTAAATTGTGGACTTGAGG